CAACTTAAGACTGTGCCCTTTTACCGGTTTTCCAGGGCATCTCGTGTCAGTGTTTCCCCTATCATCACTCGCTTTCAAAAAAATCGTCATTAAACAACAGACGCGTAACAATCATGGCAGTTGCAACCTTGTTCAGGCTGGTATGAGGCGTGCCACCTGTGAAGGATCGTTTCACGACACTTGCACAGGACTGACACAGTCTTGACATACTAAACTCATAAGACCTGAATGCAAGTGCAGATGTGAGTCGGTAGGTTTTTTTGAGAACGTTTCTGATATGTCACCAGACCTCGAGAGAAAACCGACAACAAACGGAAGAAAACGGAAAGGGAAACTAAGGTGCTCGAAAGCAGTGCTTAGTTACGACAACTATGAAGCTTGAAAATCAACCAACGGAGAGATTGCTCAAGTCATCCGACAAGAACGTGGAACTAGTTTAACTGCAGGCATCATGCACCCAAGCAGTGCAGTTGCACATATTGTCTTACACAACTTCAGTATGATTTTAATGTTAACCAATGGAGCGGAAACTACAACTTTCGAGAAGGCGCATAGATATCTGTTGTACGGAGCAAGAATAGCCGGCTTTCAAATCTAGTCGAGCCCACTGAGTCTTAGAGAGTGGAAAACCCTGTGTGAAAACTCGAACGGAGTAATAGAGAAACGAGGGTGGGGAGGACCAACTGTGCAGTGAAATCAAAACTCCATCAGACCACATGGGCCACTCGCAAGCTTGAAAAACAAGCGAATGAGTCATTTGTAGGCAAAACCAAAGCAGGAGAAGCAACCAAAGCCAAATAAAAGGCTCCCAAGCCTGAATTGTTATAAAGATCATATTACTGCCTGAATCGGTTCCGCGATTATAATGAACCTGGCGAATAGCCCCGATCTCCCATACAGCCTCCAGGATATAAGCAATAGGGCATTGTGGGGAAACATGCAACGAGCTGAAACTGAACCACATCAAGCCAATAACTGCAACTAGGCCCCCTACGCAGTCCCGGTTCAACAAACAAGAATAATCCTCACCTCTTAAGTTTGTCATAGCATCAAATTCGGCGTATAGACATGCTTGTTTCTAACCCGAGAGGTTTATTTGATTCTGCTGCATCGTTCGATGTGATCAGTTTTGGGGTCTTTCAACTATTAAGGCGCAGCATGCTGACTAGTAACGAAAATGGAGCAGCGAAACCCCAAGTGGCCAGTATTCGCAAGTCTTTCCACCATCGACCACCCGCTTCGTAGTTTGCAACTATCCCACTAACCAAGTAGAAATTTCGACCACCAACTTATGCACTGAGCCAATACAGCGAAACCGTCGCCCCAGCGAATGTCAGTACGGATGTCATGCAAGAGGGAGAACCAATTATGCCCAAGCCTTCAAGTGATTTGGCCAAGGATTTTTCAAGCCAAGGGAAAGTGCCCAATCCTCGTGATTCCGGTCACATAACTCTAACCCTCAAAGTAGGTTGACGAAGCGCCCCAAAGATATGCATACCCGTGACGCTGTTATCCCCACATTCTGTGGTAATGGATTCTTCAATATTTGACAGACCAGCGGATCACTTCACGATGATTAACCTCTTTGAGCCTAAAAAAGACTGATAACAGGGTATTTTCGCAATATCAACTTGCACAGCTCAATGGATTGATGAGCTGGTGTTGTCTGCCATCAGTGTAGAAGTAATATCATCCACCCAGACTTTCCTGAAAAATCTGATCGCGTTACTTACGACAGGTAGGGGCCAACAAGTTGACAGAAGAGGCAGCAAACACGGGACTTCAGGCGAGCGTAGAAAAGATACAGATGATGAAGTTACGCAGCCGACAACAGTGAGCACCAGTTACCATAAACGGGATAAGCCTTGAGGGAGTATCATCGTTTGCCTGCGTGGACAGTATCGTTTCAATCACAGACGGTACAGATGACGACGCCAGAGATAGGTCTTTATTAACCTGAAACCAGTGTGCAGATCTACTGCGCTTGGCATAAAGAACAACATCCGGATTCTCAACACCAATGGGAAGTCGGTGCTTCTGTATGGTTCCGAAACTTCGAGTGTCACAAAAAGCATTCCCAACAAACCGCAGACATTCATCGACAGCTTCCGTCTTCGCTCGGTACTGAAGATCAGACGGCCGGAAAGATAAGAATAGGCACGGAGGAGGAGCTCCGACCTGGCCTGGCAACTAAACAACCAAGAACCTATCACCTAATAAATGTGCAGAAGAAAGTGGAGATGAATTCGGCATGCACTGAGAAGACCACCTGAGGACATCACGCGCCAGGCCCTCAAGTGGAAGCCAAGTGGGAAGCGACGAGCTGGGCGTCCCAGATGAGGGCAACATGGAGATCGTGCGAGGATGAAATGAAATCTGACGTGCAGTCGCGGCGCCAGGTTAAAAAGACTGGAGAGAAGAGAGTGAAATGGCCGCGTGCTGCTAAGACCCCATAGTTCACTAAGAACCTAAGGGGAAAATGATGAATAATCATAAACGCGACCACTCTATTGATAAACTGAACTCATCAGAGACCGAGGCATCTCCCATTATCTGGTTGTCCTCATATCTGCTGAGAGTTGGAATAAGTTATCCAATACCTGAAGAAGCTGAGTGTGCAGATGGGGTTCCCTAGGATTCAGTAATAGGGCCTCATATTCTTCTATCACGCATATACGACTCACCTCATTAGGTCTCTTCTGGGCTCCGCCTTTTTGCCGATGACAAGGAACTACGACGAGGATCCGGAAGTCGGTAGGATAGTATCTCACTAGAGCACGACTCAACCCAGCTTCAGGGCTGGGTGATCAATAATGGGTTTTCGCTTGGTCCTGAAGAATACGGGGTAGTACAGCCAAAATATAATGCATGTCGTGTGTATAGTCTCAAGGGCGTGAAGCTGGAAGCGTCGAAGGTGACAGTGATTTGATCTTTTTAGCCCTCCAAAACTTAAAATCCCATGCCAACTGCGACATGCACGCGTTTCGTCGAAACCTGGACCTTGGATGTTTTCATCGAGTTTTCAGCAGCTCCGGGACTATCAGCTTTGCCGTCTCCTTCGAAAAAGCGGAAGTCAAGCTTAGAAAGCATCCAGAGGTCAAACCTATTCGAGAACTTAGGTCTGAAACATTCACTTGTAGAGAGTCCACCGGAGCGCAGAAGACTAGGAGGGGACTTCATAATGGACTACAATATTTTAGACACCCCGGACACTTACATTGTCGCTTGCCAAATCATCGTTGTAACACAATCCCTGGAGGACACACACTAACCAAACTTATAGCACAGGATGTTAGATATTAGGTGAAACGATTACTCCCTAAGGGTTGCTAAGCCCTGGAATGACCTTCCCGCAGGAGTGGTCTGAACTACTTCGTCTGAATCCTGTAGACGGCGGCTTGACAGATTAGTAAGGATTTAGCTCGCTCAAAAGCAGCTCGATTTTTATATCTTTAATCTCCAGTCCTCTCACGGTACCTTTGAACAGGTTAAAAGCCATAAGAACTAGTGTTCCACTGATTCTAAACTCAGAAGCCGGCTCAGTGAAAGCTCCTCCCATTCCGTCAAAAACCATTTAAACCGCTTAAGGTCTGGAGATACATGATAAGAGGTCCACCGCAAGTTTTCAAAACCGTATATCGTAGACTCGTTTGTGAGCAGCTATGCGCATTCACTACTAACATTTGGAACCGATAGCCATTATTCTAATAGTTTGTGTGCTACAAAACTCCTGTTTATTTCCTCCTTTCCACAATAGTTTGTCGTGGATACTCAGAGTGATATATTTTGAAACCCTAAAATTCGTACTGCTCCTCAGAATTTAGACTTACAGACTCTAATCCACATTGTATTGGATTTTACCACGCACCGTCTATTGTTCTTCCCCCTACATCTGCAGAAGAAAGAAGTGCTAACTGATATGACGGTATACTGTGGATGACTTACAGCCTGCTTATCAACAGAAAGTCACTAGACGGTGGTAGAGACCACCGAAAAATAGGCCATAGTCTATACAACCCCGCAGCAACAGATCTCAAAGTCTCTCTTCCAGAGTAAGACGGAATACTGAGTGTCTGTTTCACACCAGAACATGAAGTTCGTGCTAACAAGACTGAAATCATGACAAATGAAAAGGTCGGAAGGTAAAGATGCCAGAAACCTAGTCTGGGCGGTAGAAAGGATTTTGATGAAAGCATACAGGACAAGGGTGACTACCACCTGCAATATCGCGAAAAAACTGTCTTTAGTTTTACTTTGTTCTCAGTTGATGACCTCATTTGTATCCATGCTTCAGTGATTCTGCTGTGGGTGGCATTTAGAGTGGATAACGCTTCAACTCAAGCAGGGCTGAAGAAGTAATGAGATCTGGAGAAATCTAACGGAGCTGAAGGCGGGGGCCTTAAAGTGGACTTTAGGAAATGTTGGTTCATATCTTAAAACATCCCAGTACATGTTCAGTCTCCCATTCTTCTGTTCATCCTTGCTATTCTTCTGTCAGTCATGCATGACTGCCTCATATAACGTCACTAAAAATGAGATTTCTGGTTGATCATGAGTGGGTAACTTAGTCACACGAGTTTTGTGGTACATAGTGATGAAGGGAAGAAGCCAAGAAGTATAGGACAGGACAAGTATTGAGGCCTTTGGGAGCTATATGTATCAGTGTAATGTGTCTTCATGCCATCTAGTCAATCAGTATCGCAGGATATTGAAAGCCCTTACTTATTGTCTATATGCCACACCAGTGTTTGGCGAATAAATACAATAATTAGCAGTTCGCAGCTTGATAGTGCATATCAGAACTCATGAGACATGTTATTTTGACAATGGTTAATAATAACCTAGAAGGGCTACAAGCAAGGAAAATTTTTGTCGCGGATAGGAAAAATATACTTCTTTATGTGCGTAGTGAGCCTATATCATCAGTGGAAACCATGATAATGGAGAAACTACATAATAGCTAAGGTATGACATGATAAAGCATAACTTGTAACACTTACATCAAGATGGCATGGCAAGTCCTCATGGTTTTCCTTCATGACATGCTCATTCAGATGAATCTCTTTTAATTTGAAAGGTGATGTAGAATAATTCTCGGAAATATCATAGTAAAAACTGTTCCGTTCATCATCCAGAATCGACAAGATTTGAGTAAAAAGACCAATACTTAGTGAACTATCGATATCATCCTCATTTAAAGTTTCTTCAGTTTGGACAGCAATAGAAGACATCAAGGAGAAGATAACACATCAGCGAAGTGAGTGAGATTTGTGCAAATGAAAGGAAGGGAACTTGTGAAACATGATTGGTTGATAGAAATAGTACATATCGTATGAAATCTTACACGGGAACTTTAACCTAATTGCAAAATAACGATCAGAAAATGAGAAATCTAACTAATTACCATTTCGGAAACGTTATAGAAGTGTATTTCTTCATCGAACATATACCTGTCAGCGAATAAAATTAGCGGCAAATGGTACCATATAGATTATTATCCTACTACAGATGCTTAAATATCCAAATATTGCAAATATGAAGCTTCATTTTGTTATGTTATAGTAAGATCCGCTTGCGTTACGCGCTCATTGGCGCCATTTTAGTCTGTCTTGCCTGGTTAGTTTTCCCCGCGCTTTATTTGTTGTTATTGTAGGATTAGTTGTATGATGCGCCCATTCGGAGATTCTAAAGCTGACCAGGATAAAAAGCTTTTTGTCGGTGGACTTAGCCCCAAGACTGATGAGAACTCACTTAAAAGCTATTACGGGCAGTGGGGTGAAATAATCGACGTAGTTGTTATGAAAGATCCGAGATCTCAGAAGTCGCGAGGGTTTGGCTTTGTAACTTACAGAGACGCCTCATCCGTTGATGCTGCGCAAAACAATCGCCCTCATACTTTGGATGGGAAAGAGGTGGATACAAAGCGTGCCATGCCTCGTGAGGAAACTAGTCCTGAAGTACATGCTGCAGTAAAGAAAATTTTCGTAGGCGCATTGAAAAAAGACGTAACAAGTGAGGACCTCACTGACTATTTCTCCCAGTATGGCAATGTAACTGATGCTCAGATCGTAATAGCTAAAGATACCAATACTTCCCGCGGTTTCGCATTTGTGACATTTGATGATACAGATGCAGTGGACAAAGTTATTTTAGGCCGTCCCCATACTATTAAGGATTCAAAGGCGGATGTACGAAAAGCTCTGAGCAGAGAAGAAATGAATAAAATGAGGTCCAAACCTGCACCTGCAAGAGTTGATTACAATAATGGTAGTGGTTGGAACGACAATACAAATGGGGGTTTTCAACAACAGTCATGGGACCAGGGTTACAACCAACCTTACGGACAGCAGCAGTCTTATGCTTATAATGGTACAGGTTATGGTAAGTCTGATCTTAACTACACTCACTGTTATCTTTAGGTTATAGTGGCTATGACGCAAGTTCATCTACTGGAGCCTGGCCCAATGCGGCTGATGGTTTTGGCAATTATCAACAGCAGGCTTACGGAGGTGGTCCTATAAGAGCAACTCCTGCACCCACACAATATACTCGTCCCGCTCCATACACTGGTAATGGTTGGCAACAACGTTGAGATATTTGTCGTTGCAAAACCGGACGCCTGAAACGCCTAGTGCATTTTGACAACTTTTTATCACTTGCTGTAAAATATACAAATCAGTTATTCTGCTATTTCCTTGTACTCGCAGCCGCTTAACATAAGTTGTTGAGCATCTAGTTAGGTCACACTTGGAAAACATAAGGTACTGCACCTCGTGTCCTGGGTGCGAATTCGGATTCCATGTGTTCAGTCTGGAGAGGAAATTGCTATGTGCTTTCATGAAGGACTGGATTGCGCCGTGTCAAGAAGGTAACAACCCAATCGGAAGTCGTCAGCAAACAAGGTGGGTTTGAAGCTAGCGATTTTGGGTTGCAGTAACTGTTCCTAGGGAACGATTAAGTAGCACTACTTTTAAGTTCCAAATTGCTAGATAGATGTAAGATTTGATATCATTACCACCCTTTAAAATTGCTTTTGAACAGTACAAGAAAAGGTTGTAGCAGTAGTATACCTTATGACTTTAATGATGACAGGTGGCAAGCAAGTCGCTAATCTTATTATAAGTTAAGATACAAATGAAGCTGTGTCATATGTTTTAAGATAATGACCTGTGTGTATATATATACGCTTTGAAGTATTCCACCACTTAGTCGTTAATTTAGTTTATTTAAGATATGTGTAATACCGTACGTAGGATATTCATGGGTTTTCTAATCAAATGCTTTCGTCATCCACTTGTAGAGGACATACTGAAGGCCCCACCAACTGGCTCAATTTCGAACTGAAGCAGTCGGTGTTTCATACAATCGATATGCAAATGAATTATGGGTAACCGCTCCACTGGATCTCTAAATGCTGTTGGTTTGTATAGGGTTGCTTGAATAAAAGTTCTTTATCTGAAAGAGGGTTTTTCCGCTACACTTGGCGTAAATAAACTCTAAGTCATTTCAAATTTCGACCTGTTCATCAACATATGTACTAATGCTAAGGGTTCGTTCCAGGTGTTTGGAGTTATCTGTCACAGATTGCATGCTATTTTATTAACCAATCATCCCGTCTACGGCATGCCTTTTGTCTGTGTAGAAATAATCCATGGTTGTAACCTGATATCTTGCTTTATCTCTGCGACATATGGTTCTGAGGGTCACTCTAGTGATACCCAATTTCAGACTCATTGAACGAACGTAAGTGTCTGTATATTGATAACCTGGCCAACTGAGCGTCATTCATGCCGTAATCATTCTTAAATATGTACTTGGTGTGTGAATGTAGTAACTGTAATGTGTTCTGAGTTCGCTGAATTCTCAAACTTGAACTTAACTCACCCAAGAGAGAACTTTAAAGATAACCTGGTATTTGATGTCATATTTTCCATTAGTCTAGAATGCACTAATAACCGCAGTGCTTTTATGCTTTACCTCAGACGAATATTCCACTGAAAGGATAGTTGGTAGCAAGATTTTCCCCCAACGATGTAACTTCAGGTGGATAATTACATGTTCTTGACCGGGTCAAATGGTGAAAAGGTTGAGTGACTCAAAAGTAGGGGAATGCTGCACACGACAGGCAAATTTCGTAATTCAATTCCTAACATGTCTTCACTATAACATTGGCCCTGTAAAATTGTTGCTTGTGTTGGATTTGGACCTATTTCAAAGTCTATCTATAAAGACTGGCGTTAAGTGGTTTGAACACCGGGGTTACGCAGAACTTCGTGTTATTAAGCATGCAAGGCATATCAGTCTATTTGTTGGCTAATTTACAATAAGTACTGTGCACTATTGCTACTGATGTTATTGTTTATATAATTTCGGCTAGCGGAGTCCACAGGATCAGTAAAACTTGACCTGTAAGGGGTATTGGTTCAGTAAGATCAACAGGCAGTGGTGAGTACTCGATAATGAACTCATTCGGAGTTGAATAAAGTTCATTTGTATGTGGGCTTGCACTTCGTTTTATGTTGGATGTATCAACAGATGGTCACCTAGATTACGAAATGTATCAAAATCAGCTATACACGGTATACAGTGGCTCGTCGAGAAAATTATTTCCTTGAACAAACGCACCTTTGTTTTGTAGTCACGTATTGTGCAAGTAGAACAGCCGTAGCAAGTTTGAAACCCATAACTGTTTGAAACTAAGATACAGAAGGTAATAATTTTCACGGAAGATTGATCAAGTCAGCCTCTTATGACCACTCAATTTGCTTCAAGTCGATGAGGCAGCTCTACCAGTCTGCAGATGCAGTCCTAAGGGCTGACACACCACTCCCTGGCGAGTTTTGCATCTTTTTCTACTCGATCTTGTAATAAACACTGTTTAACCTTTGGTGAATTAAATGTGATTTGATGTCTGGTGGTATGCGGGATTGTTGAGAGACTGGCTCACGATGCGCAAGTAGTGTCCTTTTCTAGTAGTAGATGTATCGATGATATCTCTCCGCAATATGCTTGAGCATCACAGCTCCAACCTAGTCAGAACTTGTTTGAAGTTGTTTTACGAAGGGTGGTGTTTCTGAGAAACCTACCAACTACTTCGCCCTATGAAAACCATGGGGTTCGGGATTTTGTCATTTTCCTTCAACTATGGTTTCGGGATGTGTCTGTCTGAAAAGAATACACTTCGGTAGTTGTGGTATATTGTACGAAAAAACTTTCTCAGTATGAATCCAAGGAATCTTTGTTGACTAATCCAATGATTATTGCTTCAGTGTTTCTAAGTAAGGCAGGAAGTATCAGTCTTAGCATGACTAAAGTCGGGGGGATGTGCCGCTGAAAAGCTTTGCGTTCGACTCGTCAAGGTTGAAGGTGGCATACCCGGGTCTTCGCAGTCTGGCTCTGCATTTAAGAAACTTGGTCTGTCTGGTATGAAAGGTCTTGGTAACTCCTCTTATCCTAAGACATGTCCGTAGTGTTGCTGGTACGTGGTAGCTGGGCCAATCGAGTAAAACATATATGCATCAACCTGTTTCGACAGGTTTCATGCATTTCTCAACTGACTTCCATACGGATTACCGTATCTAGCGCTGGCAGAAAGGTAAAAGTAGTTATCTTGTCGACTGACACTGCTGAACCAAGAGTAGTTGTTTCGAGTTACTTGACACCAGGCCGAGCTCGGTGGTGGTTCTGTTGTACAAACGAGGTGAATTTTATCTTATTGTCTCGATTTAGACTGTTAATCTTGTCATTTTGATATGTGTAATTTATTTCTTTCCTACCATATATGTTCTCATTACCTTTATTTTCTCGACTAATGTTCGTTTTTTGTGTTCAGTTCTACGAATTTAGTGTTAATGACTGCAGGTGGTCATAAAGACGTTTGGACTTCATGCCCTGACCTTAGATATATACGTTAAGTTCATTCAGCCCGTTTTCTAGGGATGTAAGCATAATTTATATACTTCATAAGAGACTTATCCTTGCTATAGACTGTTCTCAAGAACTTTGTGTTCAACCACGATCATGTTTCTACATCTAAGCCTGATATTTAAGTCAGATTTACCAAATACTGTAGCAAGCAGAATCTATTCCAGTATCGATTTCGAGGTCTTAGTTGATGATACCTGTTAAATGCGTCGATTCCTATTTGCGCTCACTGCACAAGGTATGCTCCTGAGTATGAATAATTTGGAAATAACTTGTCGTAGGCAACATTCGGTAACTAACCAGTCTAAAATAAGAATAGTCTTACTTCATGTGGAATGATAAAATTTCTGATCGGAACAGTAATAATAGTAGATTTTCTCATGAATTCTCTATTTTGGATCTGACGTTAGCATCCAGTTTAACGATACGCAAAAGAGTGGTTTGCTGGTTGCATTCACTCATTCGGGAAAATGGGCAGTAGTATATTATTGCTACTCTGGGACACCTGAGTTTGCAGTCCACACTAATGCTACCTTCCCTATCGGAATAGGCGGTTAGAAAACGTTGGCTACGAAAGTTGCACACTTTGTCCTCTATGTTCTTTGGTTGCTGGTGGTATTGATTCATTTTCTCCATAGGTGGAAGATTCTCAATCCAAAACCTGAAAAACCGTGTCCAACTGCCGAATGTTCATCGGACTCCGCAGTCACGATAGCTGTCTTCTCTCTCCCCCTCTCAGATACCCAACAAATAGCTTTTACGGTGTGGGTAGCTGGAGGTACTAACCCCTCTCCACACGCTTCCAGAAGCATACGAAACCCAGCTAACCACAGCCTATTTTAGTTTCTTCCCTTATCTTCATTTCTTGCAAGTCCCTCTAACTTCTGACCTTTCAACTACTGCTTGTCCTTGAAGCCAGCAAAAAACCAACACTATCCAGATACTACACTGCTAGTCTTACATAAGAGATTTCAACATCCGAGCTCTATACCAAATCCGAAAACAGATAGGTTGGTAACTTGACTGACTGACGAAATCAACGTAGAACCTCTCAGATAAGAGCATCGCCTTAACTTGCTACACTTCACAGTAGTACACAAAGAACAAGTGGATAGGAAAAGTGATATCAAAGTAGACAAAGTTGTGTGAGAGAATAAACAATCTGACGACCACGGTTAGTGCTAATATTCAAGCTTTATAAGACGTCAGGGGATGAATACATCTGCATCGTCATTGTGGCTGATTTCCAGTCATGTCACCAAGAATCCTCTACCACTGATTCCTGTCGTCTCAGGTACCCCAGGCAGGTAGTCTACACCTCCCAATACTACTCCGACCGGCGGTCAGGGACTTCGACTGGTGCCAGGTCTTGATCTATCCGCCCTGAACTCTCTTCTAATCTAATCCAGCTTCCCGTAGCATCCGTGGCACGTCGAGGTAGGCGGTGGCTCAGCATGCACAACGCATATTCAAGCCACTTCAGTCGATGGAGGCTCACAACCTTGTCGATCGACTTACATGTTACCCTTCCTCTAACCTCAACCTTGCTCACACGATGAGTCACCAAACGCAAACAATGCTATGAAGACATCTGTGATCAAAACCCTGTGACCGCTTCACGTTTTCTACTCTTATCAGTCATGTCTCACACCCGTACAAAAGGACAGAACGGACTGCAGCTCAGTATACTCGTCGTTTGATAGATAATTGGGTATCTTACCAGCTGACGCAAGTTGGCAAGTGCCAAACTGGCCTTCTGCATCCGAGATGAGATTTCGTCAGCAATCCACCCGTTCGGGCTGATGCAGCTGGTGGTCGACACATTAGGAGTCGTTGCACACCAGTCCTGGGGCATCATCTTACGTTTGACAGGCGCCAGCGAAATACATACCAAACACTCAGATTTCTCCTCAAGGCGTTCAGAAGACTGCATTTTTCAGCGTCCTCACCTATCAGGACAACATCGTCTGCATACTCC